GCAGTGAAGAGGCCCATAAAAGAATAAAGGTGAAAACAATAAAACCTATCTTACAAATCTCCACATGACCCAGATGCAATTCTGTCGCCTATCTTTAATAGTCTTCTGTCTATTTCCCAGTTTCCAGGTTTTTCTTGTGCCGCTAATGCTTTCTCCACAGCCGAATGAGAATGTGAAGATCTTGACCATGACCCCTAAATTATCAAGCAACAGTTACATATTACTGTCTACTAGCCTTCTATTACTATTACAATGTGACACAATTTACCTCACTTCTAGCAACCGCCTTTTCCATAGCTTCATGTAGACCATCTGTATCCTGACCACAACATTGCAAAGTCAGCAACATTTGGACTCAGCACAGATCCCTGTCATAAAAGAAATATAATCACAATGCCCCTTAATATATTACGAAAGCATTTTCCTTGGATAAACTGCAGTTTTTTTTTACTTAACCTGTTTGATAAAACTCAATACTTATAACACAAATATTGGGATGCATACAGAAGAAGAAAACACAGCAACAGCTTAGATTATAGAAAATAATAATGGCATCACAGCTTAGATTATAGAAAATAATAATGGCATCACAACAAAAACCACACACAATGAACAAAAGTGTAATGGGTAAAGACTTACAGTCTGGGGCTCCCCCCCAACCCCTTCTTTCCCAAAAAAAAACAAAGGCCAACCAACATATTGGACATTTCTCAATAGTAATACATAAAAAGAACTAACATGCAACCCAGACAGCGAATGATGATAAACACATTATATTGCAAAAAAGTACCTCAACAGGCCATCCATCCACCACAAAAACATCTAAGGAGTAGCCATCGGTCGTTGAAAAAACATGTGCTTCACGGATGTTAAGTCCTAAATCAGAAAGCAAAGCAGAAAGCTAGAGGAAAATGACATCTGTTAGAAAGATGTTGTCCTTAGTATGGTTCCACTTTTGCAGTTCTCTGGCTTTAACAACATAGACGATATATATATATATATATTTATAGAGTAGAATCAAAGGTGCTGAATTATGCTCTCAAAAAAGAAGTATTACTCCTCTTTTTATAAATAATAACAACAATATTAACTACTGCAACCCTTAAATTCAGTTGCCAGTTTTTCAAAAATTTGAAGGCTGCAAATTTATATTGATAGAAAGTAACCATGTAAAACATCATGACACGAATTAATCATGATAAAGAACATTTCCAATGCAAAGGGTTTTCAAATTATCTTCAAATCCAAGGGCTCTGCAGTGAGGTACTATGGAAAAGACGTTCACATGACAACATCATATTTTCTCTGGAGGAGTAATAAATCCGTTGAAAATTTTCCAAGACAGAACCCCATAGGAACTGTATACTCAAAAGATCATAAGCATGAGGATTACCAAAAAATTTTGAAAACTAGGTAAAAACTTGTATGCATCTACATAAACAGAAATTCTTTGACATAGCTTTATAAAGGACAAGTTAGATGAGGTGTCCATTAAAAAAAGTAAATAAATTTGACAGTGATTTAAGTTACAAGCATTAGGTATTAAAAACACTTACATTGAAATTAGTGAATACCAAGAGACTGCTAAAGTGGAGACAATGTATTGCATGTAATGAAGCTACCAAATGACAAACAAATAAATTAAGTTTCTTGTTCATACCTGGCTAAGAAGCTTAGGCTTGTCAATGGTTGAAAATATGACTTCATGAATGGGAACATGTGGTATATCTTGCCTGCATTATACATCCCAATTGTCAATATAATTTCTGCATATATGAGAACTGCAATTTTTTTTTAAAGAGAAATGAAGTTTTATCAAGTCAAGAACACAATAGAAGACTCGGTGAACAAGAGGTCTAAGAGAAAAATGATTTAATTCCCATAAAACAGAAGTCCAAATTACACCTCTGACATTGTAAGACAACTCTAAAAACTATTCTGCAGCAGCTCCCCAATCTAATAAAATTCCAATCCTAAAGGCGGGAGAAAGAGAAGCCCATAACTGCAAATGCAATCTCTCAATATACAGCCAAAGCTCAGTCTTAATAAATAATAAAAAAGAGATTATGTTCACTGAGCAACAAAATTACAAAGTTGGTGTCAAAGAGCTTGATAAAGCATTATCGGATTCTGTACCTTGAAAAAAAAAAAACTTTAATATAGGTATATGTTGCTAAGTTGGAAAAGAAGACCTTTAGCCTAATATTTCATACATATATGTTTTTACTTATGCATGCATATGTGTTTATGTACATAATTGACAGATATTCTTCTACCTGTGTATACCATCTATGGACATGCATGGTTTCCTTGAAAGCAAGACAGACAAACTATACATACTTATTACTTAACATAATTAATTCAAAATAACACGTACAAAATATATTTCTTTAGTTCTCAATAAACATTTTATCTAATTTTTGTTTGATAAGAAATAAAAATCTCTCAGAAATGGAACAGTACAAAATAATTAAAGGATGATGGGTAATCCACCCTATGCTAACAATAAAATATTCATAAACACTACTACATGTCAAAGAAGTATGAAAGAAAGTCTTAAGTCTTCCAATCTCTGAAAAGAAGGCTACTGAAATTGAGTCCAAACTTTGAAACTGAAGCCCCTAATAAGGCAAAATTCTTCTTCACAAACTTTAACATTCTACTATTGCTCACTCTAAATAACTCCTATACTGAAAATATGAGAAGTCAAACGAAGCAAAACCAGAACTGCCTTCACAGAACATAACAATCTACTCCATAACTCAACCAACTCCAATGTTCTATACCAAAAAAAAAAAATGATGCATCCACTCCCCATTTTGTTATACTAATGATGCATCCACGCCAACCGACCAACCTTTCAAATAAAGATTTACTACAAAAAGTTTCTGAAAAGAATTCGGGACCAGGACCATTTATGACCAGTTGTTGCTTTACATATCTAATATGTTTCCATTGTCCCCTTTCATTTTAGTTGTTATTGGTTAGATACCAGAGTGTGATTGCAACTCAACAAATATAAAATAGATAAATAAACCAAAAGAAATAAATACCACAAAACCAACATATTGCAACAATTGAAGTATCAAATGGTAAACCATTGATCTGACGATAAACAAATTCTTGCTTTGATGAATTACAAAAGTGTTTAGTCTTGAACAAAAAACATGAATTATGCTCTCAAAAAAGAAGTATTACTCCTCTTTTTATAAATAATAACAACAATATTAACTACTGCAACCCTTAAATTCAGTTGCCAGTTTTTCAAAAATTTGAAGGCTGCAAATTTATATTGATAGAAAGTAACCATGTAAAACATCATGACACGAATTAATCATGATAAAGAACATTTCCAATGCAAAGGGTTTTCAAATTATCTTCAAATCCAAGGGCTCTGCAGTGAGGTACTATGGAAAAGACGTTCACATGACAACATCATATTTTCTCTGGAGGAGTAATAAATCCGTTGAAAATTTTCCAAGACAGAACCCCATAGGAACTGTATACTCAAAAGATCATAAGCATGAGGATTACCAAAAAATTTTGAAAACTAGGTAAAAACTTGTATGCATCTACATAAACAGAAATTCTTTGACATAGCTTTATAAAGGACAAGTTAGATGAGGTGTCCATTAAAAAAAGTAAATAAATTTGACAGTGATTTAAGTTACAAGCATTAGGTATTAAAAACACTTACATTGAAATTAGTGAATACCAAGAGACTGCTAAAGTGGAGACAATGTATTGCATGTAATGAAGCTACCAAATGACAAACAAATAAATTAAGTTTCTTGTTCATACCTGGCTAAGAAGCTTAGGCTTGTCAATGGTTGAAAATATGACTTCATGAATGGGAACATGTGGTATATCTTGCCTGCATTATACATCCCAATTGTCAATATAATTTCTGCATATATGAGAACTGCAATTTTTTTTTAAAGAGAAATGAAGTTTTATCAAGTCAAGAACACAATAGAAGACTCGGTGAACAAGAGGTCTAAGAGAAAAATGATTTAATTCCCATAAAACAGAAGTCCAAATTACACCTCTGACATTGTAAGACAACTCTAAAAACTATTCTGCAGCAGCTCCCCAATCTAATAAAATTCCAATCCTAAAGGCGGGAGAAAGAGAAGCCCATAACTGCAAATGCAATCTCTCAATATACAGCCAAAGCTCAGTCTTAATAAATAATAAAAAAGAGATTATGTTCACTGAGCAACAAAATTACAAAGTTGGTGTCAAAGAGCTTGATAAAGCATTATCGGATTCTGTACCTTGAAAAAAAAAAAACTTTAATATAGGTATATGTTGCTAAGTTGGAAAAGAAGACCTTTAGCCTAATATTTCATACATATATGTTTTTACTTATGCATGCATATGTGTTTATGTACATAATTGACAGATATTCTTCTACCTGTGTATACCATCTATGGACATGCATGGTTTCCTTGAAAGCAAGACAGACAAACTATACATACTTATTACTTAACATAATTAATTCAAAATAACACGTACAAAATATATTTCTTTAGTTCTCAATAAACATTTTATCTAATTTTTGTTTGATAAGAAATAAAAATCTCTCAGAAATGGAACAGTACAAAATAATTAAAGGATGATGGGTAATCCACCCTATGCTAACAATAAAATATTCATAAACACTACTACATGTCAAAGAAGTATGAAAGAAAGTCTTAAGTCTTCCAATCTCTGAAAAGAAGGCTACTGAAATTGAGTCCAAACTTTGAAACTGAAGCCCCTAATAAGGCAAAATTCTTCTTCACAAACTTTAACATTCTACTATTGCTCACTCTAAATAACTCCTATACTGAAAATATGAGAAGTCAAACGAAGCAAAACCAGAACTGCCTTCACAGAACATAACAATCTACTCCATAACTCAACCAACTCCAATGTTCTATACCAAAAAAAAAAAATGATGCATCCACTCCCCATTTTGTTATACTAATGATGCATCCACGCCAACCGACCAACCTTTCAAATAAAGATTTACTACAAAAAGTTTCTGAAAAGAATTCGGGACCAGGACCATTTATGACCAGTTGTTGCTTTACATATCTAATATGTTTCCATTGTCCCCTTTCATTTTAGTTGTTATTGGTTAGATACCAGAGTGTGATTGCAACTCAACAAATATAAAATAGATAAATAAACCAAAAGAAATAAATACCACAAAACCAACATATTGCAACAATTGAAGTATCAAATGGTAAACCATTGATCTGACGATAAACAAATTCTTGCTTTGATGAATTACAAAAGTGTTTAGTCTTGAACAAAAAACATGCCAACAATATTTTGTTAAGTACCTTGGGGGAAAACTCTCTGTCAGATGTCTTCCATCCATGTCCGTAGCATTCGTTCTAACATCCAAATTTAGGTCCCCAAGCTTAGAGTCAATTGCACAATTCCTAGCTCTACTCACAGAAATGGAATAGATAAGAAATAAAGAAATGAAACCCACAATCACCCAATGCAGTCACTGAAACCCTTAACAGCAATAAATATGGCAAGAAAAGCATTTCAGACGGAGTACAACACAGGTATAATACCTGTCATGTGACTGAGCAGCTCCTTCATTAGCTTCACCACATGATGGCCTTGAGGTTGAAATGATACTAGTAACTTGTTGGCCATCATTATCATCATCATCGTCGTCATCATCTGCTTTTGTAGAAGTATTCTGACCAGAAGTACATAAAGAACCATAGAAATTAACAAAAGTGTGAGGACCTTTGTAATAAAGAAAATGGTCGGAAGAAAAAAAGAACTAATTTGACATTGGAAATAACATCAAAGTTTCTCATGCTTACAGGATTCTTTGAAATCCTATTTCCAAGTGTAGTTCAAAACTTCTTTACAGAAAGTGACGGTCAATACATGCAACAACATGCATATATTACTATACATTGTAATAGATCCAGATCCTAAATGACCATTCCAATTCTTTTCCCTGAACCCACTATTAAGAAATATGTTCTTTCAAAATAATTCATATGGAACAGGTGAAGCGTCAGATTTACCCCAATGGAAGCAAGAGTAACAATAATATTTCCAAAACAACAGCTAGTAAGCAAAATCATATCAGACTAAAAGGAGGTATAGTTTTAATGCTAAGTAAACTTAAATCATGCTTTGGCTATGTGAAATCTTCTCTTTTTTATTTGGCTAAATGTCATTTCATTCAATACCTCCATGAAACGGATATGATAAACAGGCCGCTTCTCTGGGTCTTTTGCCAATGCAAGAAGCTTTTGATGCAACAAGACATCTTCTACTCTATCCAAGTTAACATCAAGCCCATAACTGCGTAGCAAAAAAAAACGTAGAAATAGGTTCATCAACCTTATAAAAAAGATAAAAACAATATCCTATGGCTCCGGTTGTTCCAATGGAGTATGTGCAGGGAATAAATTAGGAAGCACATAAAACATGAACTAAGTTCACTCCCCCTCCCCTCACACGAAAAAGAAAAAAAAAGGAATTTATCATATGGCTCTTATGAAGTTCTCCAGTGGAGAACTTCTTTGAAACTCTAGTGAATATACTTTCCACTTATGTTTTAACCAAAGCTTCAACATAACATAGGGGCTGGAAAGGTTTGCCTGTCTTTGCCTTGGATAGTATTTCTTGACAAACCTAAGCAAAAACTTTGTGCCTCCCCGAAAAAGAATTTCCAAGAAGTATAGTACTTTTCCATTCAAACACGAATCAGAAAAATTGGCTGTGGTACTAATTTCCACTCGTACACACAAAGAATTTGTAAAATGTAAGCTACTCCACTGGTTACATAGTCAGCAGATATATAGGGAAGAAAATAACGTATAAAAAACATTTCCATCTCAAAACTTAAAGCTTCAAAAGTAAAGCCGTATGCAGTACGGTACCAAGAATAGAACAAATAAGCAAATGGACATTTTCAAACATTAAAAACTTTCCCAAAACTGCTCGGCATGCATATTAGGGCCCGTCTGGTAACGTTTTCGGAGGATGTTTTCTGAGAATATTTTCAGAGAATGAAAACAAGAAAACAAATTTGCGTTTTCAGGAAATGAAAATGCGTCTGGTAGATTAATAAAAAACATCTTTAGAAAACAAAAACAATGAAAACGTGTCTGGTAGTACAATTTGATAATAATAATAATAATAATATGTGAGCTATTTTTCAAGTGTATTTTTGCTAATTTATGTTCTAAAAAATATTTTAAAAAATGTATAATTTGACAAATAAAAAATTATATTGTTTTTTAAAAGTTAAATTTATTTTTATCTCTTTATTTTTTCTTCCTCTTTTCCTCTTTTCTTCTTTTTTCCTTTTCTTTCTTTCTCTTTTCTTCTCCCTTCCCAGGCCGTTCCTTTCTTTCTTCCTCTACTTTCTCTTTTATTCTCCCTGCCCAGGTCGTTCCTCTTTTTTACTATCTCTTCATGCCGCCGCACCCACTCCTTCCTTCCATGGCATGAATCCCATCAACCCACCTCTCTCTCTCTCTCTCTCTCTCTCTCTCTCTCTCTCTCCCCCCCCTCTTCTTGGGTATTGTCTGACAGTCGTGGCTGTGGTGAATTTGATTTTCGTTTATGTTTTGGTTTGATTTTCGTTTCGTTTCTGTTTTGCTGGGGAGAATGATGGGGGTGTGTGTTTCTGTTTATGTTTTAGGCGTTTGTTTCCTGTGAGAATGAAAACACATTTTTTCTGTTTTTCCGAAGTACACATGATGTTGTTCTCATTTTATGAAAACATTCTCAGTGTTTTCTGTTTTAGTCCACCGAACGAATTCTTGGTTTGTTTTTGTTCTCAGAAAATGAAAACGGGCGTTGAAAACTTAAACGAACGGCCCCTTATTATCTTCCACAACTCAAGGAGATCAATCACAGTTGAATCATCATTGAGACTCTAATCTAAGCTTCACGAAGATTCATACTGGAAAAATTAAAAATAAAGCACTAGTTTCAGAAATAAAATCAACAGCCGAAATTCGTTAAAGCCAAATAAAGAAATAAAACAAATTCCAATACAGGAAAGGAAAGCGATCGAATTGGAATACCTAGCCGGCAAGCGATTGAAGTGAGCGTCCAACTGCTCACGAAAATCAGGTTGAGTCAAAGCGTCTTCTTTACCGCTCTCCAACAAGCGGTTGTACACGTCGTTTCGCACATCGTAGTTGCTGAAGCTGACGAAGCTTCGAGGCGGTGACGAGCTCTCTCCGACGCCCTCGGTCAAATCCATAGGAATCTCAAGTCAGCAGGTGTTCCATGAAAATATGGAGAAGAAGAAGTTGATCAGCAGAGGATCTTTGACTGTTGGTAGAATCTGAGAAGAAGACGAGGATAGGCTCGGAATTCGTTGAGAAAGTGGAGGGCAATCTCGTCATACAAATGTACTGTAGCAGAGTGAACTTTCTAGAGCGAGAGAAGACTAGTTAGAAGGAGAAGAAATGAAATGAGAAAGACCTGATCACTCGTCTCCATAGTCCTCGCTCCGTCCCCAGCTGAGCTAAGACAATGCCTTATTTTATATTATTATTTAATTATTTATTATTATTATTATTAATATAGTGGGAGTGGATAGGGTTGAAACTCGTGGGGCAATATAAAAACTGTTTGTGACTGAAGAGAATGCCGCGCGTATTGGGAACAATTGCTGTGATGTTGTCGTTCAAGATTAAATGGCCTGCAGTTTATACGGGATACCGCATGTCATACCATAATTATGACGTAGCTCACGCCATAGGCCTCAGCAGCGGTGGGTTGTGATAAGCTGACGGACCGGTGACCACAGTTACAAATTTCCTGTCTTAAATTTAGTAGTTGAATAAGTACTTATTTTTTTACATTTATACTGTCTTTTAATGTAATTACAAAAGTATTTAAAAACGAAAGAGAGTGGTCAATGGGTTCCCACCACGGTGGTGGTGGATTCCCCCTCCACCCCATGACAGTGCCAATGGTACCCATGATCGAACTCTAGTGGAATTTCTTTCCTCCAATGTAATAAAAACAAAAGAGAGTGTAAGTAGACAAAAGTGGCTATATTTATTTAGACTATTAATTAAAAGAAGTCTCTTTGTCAATTAAGATAATCAAATAATATTATTTGTTATTTTTCAATTAAGAAAATAATAATATAATGTTAATTTTACTGATTACTTCCCTATTCACTCTCTTACTATAAGAAACACTCATCCAATCTAAAGGTATTGAAGCAACCAAATAGAGATGAAAAGCATGACATGGGATGGGAGTACAAAGTATGTTTAATGAAATTGTAGTAATTTATAATTATAATTTCTTTATAATAATGATTTAATATAATTAAGGGCTCATAATTTGACAGTTACCTTATAATGACGGACATGGCCTCTTCTCGTTATAATAATATTAGAATTATTCGCATGTGTTGCATATGTGAAGATTGAAGATATTGTACGAGAAAAAAATAATAGAACGTTTTGTTTTTTTAATAAAAGAATACTCACCAAGAATGTTTTTTTATTTATTTTTTAATATACTACAATGATTTGGGTTATGTGTAGATGGGACAAGATCAAATATTTACAAAACGGCATCTCGAGTCGAGATAGACTTTAAGAAGTTGAAGTGATGGTGAGCCCTTCACCTAAGTTAGGTGTGGGAGATCATTGGGAAGGTGTTAAGAAATACAACTGATATAATAGCCTAATTTCGCTACAATGCATTTGGTTCAAGTTGAAGAGGCAACTTAATCAAATTCTTACACAGATGGATAAAGGTGGAGCAGGCTAGTAGAGTAAGGGCTAATGGAGAAAAGGCTCAAGGAAATTCTAGGTGTGGCTAACTAGGTGGAGCAAGGGCTCCTAACAAGGCTCGAGAAAATCCTAGGCTTAAGTGGAGCAAGGGCTTCTAGCAAGACTTAAGAAATTATTGTCTGTAGAGGTTGAGTTGCAGGGACCACATCATCCTCAAAAAGTGTGAGTGTTGTAACGGTTGGATTACTTTGGCTTGGATCTCGTAAATGTGGAGATTATTGATGTATGTTGCTCGATACAAGTCATGATGTGTAAGTCCCACATTGAAGAATACAATGATAATCTATGGTTCAAATATATGTGGTCAACTCATAACTACACCGAAGCCCTTTAAGTTAAAACGACACAGGTAGAGGTCCATTGAGTCTCATATGTGTATTAAAAGAGGTATTGTTACACCTGAAATGCGGATCAAATTCACTAAAAGAACAATTAAGTTAAACTCATTAACTTGCTCAAGGAAGCATGAGGTGTATTCTTGTACTTATATTTTCTATCTTATACTGATTGTCCAATTAATCTGTCTCATCTTTGAGATCTACTAGATAGTAGTCATTCTTCACAAGTTGGTATAGCCATGCCTCTCTTATACTTATATTCTTGGTTTTTAGGATGATCTACTAGATAGTAGTCATTCTTCACAAGTTGGCATAGCCATGCCTCTCTTAAAATTTTATTCTTGGTTTTTTTTTTTTCGCTATAATTTTATTCTTTTAATTAGTCATCAATGGTGGAGACAAAAAATTTCAGAAAAAGGGCACCTTAAGTATCAAAAGTTATTTTTCTTTTGCGTGACAATCCCTAATTTCTTACATGATATGACGAATCAGTAAACCAAATCCTTTTCTCCAATTTTTTGGCGGATCCAAGATTCAAAAGTCAGGTAGGCGAAACTTACCTTAAAAACTCGACGGTACGAGTGAATTTTATTGATAAAAATAAAAAGATACACCTAGTCAGGGGGGATGTAATGAGCCTTACCCTCAAATATGCATATCTATACATAAATAAAAGTTTAACAAAAAACACAAGAAGTAAATGCAATGCAACACAAAAACTAAACTATTTTAATCTAAAATTGTACCCTACGAGGCTTGGAAATCTTAAATTCTTCAATTATCTTTTCATTATCGATACTATTAGCAAACTCTCTTTCAATGTGGAGAATCATGTAATCAGCAAGGAATTCATCAGATAATTGATATTAAAATCTTGACCACTATCAACTCTTTGAGTCTCAACTCTTTCAACTTGAGGCTCGACAATGGGAGAAGAGAGAAGATTTGGCTCATCACAAATGGGAGGCATTCTAGAAGATGATGACCCATCATTCTTTTTCTTAAAAAAAGAGAATAAATTCTTTGTTTTCTTGGGGTTTCGATTGTGATCCGACATAATAAAAGATAACCTATTTAATCAAATATCCCAACAAAAAATCAAACAATTTCTCATAATAGCATCAATGAATTTAGTCAAACATTAACATACCAACAACAAATCAAACATCTCAACAATGCCAACATCAAATCAAACATCTCAACAAAATTCTTAAAATCAAAGACCTAATTAATTTCAACAAAATCCCCAAATTATATTTCATTCCAAATTAAACCCTAGAAAACTCAAATTAAAATTAAAATTAAAACTAAGATGCATTATTTTAGGAATAACCCAATAGAAGAAGATAATTAAAGAGAAGAGATTAAGAAGAATACTTGTTTCCTTGTATATGAGAAGAGAAGAGAAGAGGTTGTCCAGTGTCCACGATTGCACAGCACAGCCAAGACTTGCGTTGAGAAGAAGCTCTCCCGACTCTATCTGGAATTGTACTGCACAGCCATTATTTGGCTGCTTAAGTTATATTCTTTCTTTTATTAAAGTTTGACTGGGCCATTCATAACATGGGCTGGCTGGTTATAATTTCTTTTCAGGTTTTTAAAGTTTGAATGGGCTTGTGCTGTGGGTTTTATATGGATTGGGTAGGCAAGAGTGTATACCAACACATGGAATGGATATCAATTACATAGCTTATATATAGGTTTTTTTTTTAGTGAAATATTTTTGGGTAGGCGGTAGCCTACCTTGCCTTGGCTTAAGATCCGCCCCTGGTTTTATGTTACCGAATCTCTTTGAATTTATAAGATTAAATTTAAAACAAAAAATATTGTGTAAATAAGGTTAATTTTATAATCTATGTTGCATGGACACAGATACGATGACACGGGGGAACGACAAATTTCAAAAAACTAGGATATGGGGCACGACAATTAAAACAAAATAAGCTTATTTGAGGGACACCCCTAATAGGGCCCACTCAGGATTATATTTCAATAATCCAAATCGTCTATTTTGTAGATACTCATTCAAAGACCACTCAATTGAGTTATTGAAATTTTAGTACTTTCTTGAAGCACAGTGTTAATTGCTTTTGTAGGACACAATTGGATATCGAAACAGTTTCCGTTTTGTCAAATTTTTTGTAAGGATGATCTATGAATGAAGACCTAAAAAATAAATGATTTGGATCATTGGAAAAAAAAAAATTTGTAAAGTACCCTAAAGGACACACATATATATATATATATACATATATAGGGAGCTGATTTCCCCTCTCTCATTTTCTTCACTTACACTCCATTTTGCTTTTTAATACTTTTAATCAATTTTGTTCTTTCTCTTTCTTATTTTACCCTTACCTTACATTAATTTCCTTTTTACTTCACTTTTATATTAGTTCTTTTTCTTTATACTTAATGTAGGGTAAGGATAGAATATGAAAGAGAAATAACAAAATTGATTAAAAAGTATTAAAAAGCAAAAGGGAGTGTTAGTGGAGAAAATGGGAGTGGAGAAATCATATCCCTATATATTTTGATGTTCATACTCCAATTTCACAATACCTATATATTGTGAAATTCAAGTTTTCTAAGCCTTTGTAGTTTATTAAGTTTATATGAATTAACACATTAGTTGACCTTGAGTATAAGTTGACCCGTATTTGGAGAGTGTCCTGATTATGTATGTGGAATGTATTGATCGTGAACACGATGTTAACCGTTAAACACAAGTATCCAAAGAGTGTCCAAATATCCGACACTTAAGCTTAGTGGAGTGTCCATTCAACTTAGTTTACAATCATCAACAGGATAGCGAATGTGCCTTTATCTTTCAACACATAAATCATAGTTGACTTCATCCATCAGGTTATGTTTTGGAATGCATGCACTAAGAAAAAGGCCAAATAAAGGGAAAAAAAGAAAAAAGAAAAAAGGCCTATCCACGAGTATAGATCGTTCATAAGGAGCAACGTTCTAGCGGGTGCTAGTATATAGATCGAGTTTCTTTTCTTTATTTTTTTAAAATCAATTAAACACCTCAAATGGTTGTTAGGATTAGTGATTTCATAGTTAACCATAAAAAAAGTTTTGTCTCGTAATTATTTACATATGCATGCGTAAGCAATTGACACTAACAAAAATCTTTATGTAAATATACCCTAAAAAGTGTTCAGCAAAATAGCTCTTGGATGAGAAGTTCACCTTTTTTTTCTTTTTTAAATTTATCAAATAAGGTCACCTGTTTAATTTGATAGAATATGCAACATTCATAGCACACACATAATTGTAAATTTAAATTGGCATTGGATTATTTTAATTGGTCAATTGTTAGGTTCACTAAACCAAGGAGAATATTGATGGTGTGTTTGGT